ATAAAATATCTAGGAATAAATCTAACCAGGAATGTGAAAGTCTTAAACAATGAAAACTATAAAACACTGCTGGAAGAGATTAAAGAAGCCTTAAATAAATGGAAAGATGTTCCATGTTCATGGATTGGAACACTTATATTGCTAAAATGTCGATACTACCCAAAGCAATCTATAGAGTCCATGCAATCTTGATCAAATTTCCAACAGCTTTCTTTACAGAAATAGAAAAACAAACCTCAACTTTATACAGAATGGCAAGAGGTCACAAATAACTAAAGCAATGTTGAAAGACAATAAAGTAGGAGGACTCACCATTCCTAATTTTAAAACATACTATCCCGCAATAGTAATCAAAACAGCCTGGAACTGGTATAACAACAGACACATAGACAAATGGAACAGAATTGAGAGCCCAGAAATAAATCCATACATCTACAGTCAACTGATTTTTTACAAGGATGCCAAGTCCACTCGATGAGGAAAGAAGAGTCATTTCGATAAATGATTTTCAAAAAACTGGATTTTCACATGCAGAAAAATGAAACTTGATCCATGCTTCACACCATACACCAAGACAAATTCAAAAAGGATTAAGGACCTAATTGTGCAAACTAAAACCATAAACTTCTTAGGAAAAACTAGCAGGGGCAATGCTATCAGGATTAACTTTCAACAATATAATAACAAAATAGCATTTTGTTATTAATAATAAAAGCACAAATGACAAAATAAATAAATAGGACCTCACAAAAATTAAAAACTTGTTCATCAAAACACTTTTCAAAAAAAGTGAAAAGACAAGCTACTGACCGGTAAAACATCTTCAGAAACCACACATCCAACTAGGATCTAATAACCAAAATATATATATATAACTTCGACAACTTAACAACAAAAACACAAATAAGCTAATCATAAAATGGGCAAAGGACTTGAATAGATATCTCATCAAAGACGACATTCAAATGGCCACAAAATACATGAAAACATGCCTAGCTAGCATCATTAGCTATCAGAGCTGTAAATCAAAACCATGAGATACCATTTCACTCCCATTAGGATGGTTAAAGTAAAAAAAATCTAAAAATATCAAATGTTGGTGAGGATGTGGACAAACTGGAACCCTTACCCAATGCCGACAGAAATGCAAAACTGTACAGCTGTTGTTGAAAACAGTGTGGCAATTCCTCAAAAAACTAAAAATACAACTACCATATGACCCAGTAATTCCACTCCTAGGTATATATACCCAAAAGACTTCAAAGCAAAGACTCTTTAAAGAGACTTGTACGCCAATGTTCATTGCAGCACCTTTCACAATAACCAAAAGGTAGAAACAGCCCAAATGTCCATCAATGATAAATGGATAAACAAAATGCATTCCATATATACAACAGAATAGTACTCAGCCAATAGGAAATGAAGTCTTGATACATACAATACAGATGGAGGTGGAAGACATGTCAAGTGAAGTAAGTCAATCACAAAACAACATTGTATGGCCTCACTTATATAAAGACAAGGCAAACATAAAGATAACGAAGTTTATTAGTGATTACCAGGGGTGGGAGAAAGGGGGAAGGGAGGGAGGGGCTTAAATGTGATGGAAGTATCACAGATTAAGGGTAGGGTTGCACAGCTGATTATTATAATTGCTGTAAGTTGTACACCTGGAAAAAGTTGCTTGCAGAAGTTGCGTGATCGACATATTTACAACCAAAAAAAAAAAAAAAAGAGAAGCTGCTAAGGCTGCTTATGTACAACCAAAATCCTCATGTGATTTGGTTCTTTGGTTTGGAGGTTTATGGTCATGGTTTCATAGGTCATGGTTTCATATCCTTTTACATGGCTTAATAACTTGTTTAGTGCTTGTTTTACCTCCTGGTTCTTTGTATAATGCCTGAACTAATGACAGTTAGCAAGTGGCTACCCAAGGCACAATTGGTCTCTATTCACCTGAAACATCAGACCAAAAATCAGGAAATCAGAGAATATGGAAAATGTGTGGCTAATTGCCTCCATGAAACAACTGCCTCCTTTGCCTTGAGACCAGAACTGGAAGGCGCCAAGCTAACATTACTGAATATTTTCAGTAATTCAGATCAAAGATTCGATAGAAGAATCTTAATCAAAAGAGGGAAAATGCAGAATTTCAAAGCCTCATGGAGCCCAGATTACCTGGGGCCATGAAGGTCAACTGAAACCCCAAAACTATTGCCAACACAATCTTGAAACTTTAAACAAAAAATATCCCCTGAAGCGTTCTTAAAACCAAATAATAGTTCAGCTTAACTAGTAAAAAAAAAAAAAAAAAAAAAATCTGCTTTGAGCATTATGGTCTTTTAAGATCTATATGGGATCAAAGTGACAACAGCAACTTGAAAAGTAAGATAGAAGGAACCTTAGGGGCAATTAATTTATGTTAATGGGGGAAAAACAGCTCAGAAAAGGAAGATGAGAATGGTTGCAAAATTCGAAGACTCCAATCAGATTAATGTCCCCAAATGGTACATGTAGAAAATGAACTGGTGCATGCTTTGCTGCCTATATTCTCAACAACAAAATAAAAAATAACTTAGAAGTATGGCAACACTGACAGGGAAAGAAATGTCAAAAAGAACCTCAAATTTAAAAAAAAAAAAAGAAGAGTTTTGAACCACTTGAGACTGGAAGAATCCCCAAGACTAAATTGCCTTGAGATACTCTTTAAACCTTAAATTAAAACTATGCCCTGAAATCACCATTTAGCTAAATAGCAGGGTGGCTCATAAAGTAAAAGAATATCACCCTTGAGTTTTGTGTGCCTTTAAAAAATCATATATATATATGGGACCAAATGGTCAACAACACCTAAGGCATAGATGAGAAGGCTGGGGAGCAGTGATACTAAATTACTGAGTACAGAACTAGAAGGGAAGTAAGAATGTTGACACAATGTGAAGAATGTAACCAGTGTCCTGAACAGCATGTGTAGAAATTGTTGAATGGAAATGTTTTGCTGTGTACACTCATAAAAACTGTAATTTTTTTTTTTTTTTTAAAGTATGACAACACTAAGCATAAAAGAGGGAGTATTGGGAAGGCTCATCTATTGATACACATAAATTGGTCAAACTACTTTGGAAATGTTCAGCATTATTTCAAAAAAGTTGAGCATGTATATACTTTGTGACCCAGCAATTCCATTCTTGAGTCAATACTCTGAAGCAATGGTTTTCAAACTTCAGTGTACATCAAAGTCACCTGGAGAGCTTGTTGAGAACAATTTCTGGGTTCCTCCCACAGAGTTCCAGATTCAGTCAGTTTGTACTGGAACCTGAGAATTTACATTTCTAAGAAGTTCCAGGTGACTTGATGCTAATGGTCTAGAGATCAGTCTTTGAGATCCACTGTTATAAAAGAAAACCTCATGCCTGTGCATCAGGAACACATTATAGAAAATTAATAATGTACTATCTCAATCACAAGGTCCCAGGGTGGCACAAGCATTTGTGCTTGACCACTAACCTAAAGGTTGGCAGTTCACCCCCCATCCCCACTGGTGCTGTGAAAGAAAGGACTGGCAATTTGCTTTCATGAAGATCACAACCAAGAAAATCTCAGGGAGCAGTCCTATTCTTTAATACATGGCGTCACTATGAGTCAGAATCGACTCAACAGCAACAGGTTTTGTTTTGTGGCAAAAACCATCATAAATACCCTTTTACCAATAGGATGAATAAACTGTGGCGTAATCAGCGATACGTGGCTGTGAAAACAAGATCTTGGAAAGACACACAAGGGCTTCTAAAGTGCTTGGGTTGTGCTAGGGTTTAAGTTGCATGGATACTTCATGGGCCTTCTAATTATTTAACTGTCTATACTTATTTCGCATACTTTATTGCACATATATATTTCATCAAAATGTTTAAGTTCTGTTTCTCTCTAGTTTCTATCCACTGGTCATTTTTCTACTCTCTGGCCCTGTACAAAATATGCCAAATCCGCTCAGAACTTGAATAAAAGGGGAACAGTTATTGGGTCTCTTGTTTCCCCATTATCTCTAACACTCATACATCCCCATCCTCTACAGCTGCTTGCAACCACAAGGTGTTTTTATGCCCCCTCAAGCCCCTCACCTATGACTATGGGTCTTAAAATCTGATACCCAAAACTGAATGCAAGGGTCCACAAATGGTCTGAAGGCACTGTAGTAAAACCTCTCTCTCTCTGGCTACCGCAGTCTGAAGAGTGCTTTTGCAACTATATCTTACTGGTTACTCACACTGACCATATCTTGATCTACTAAGATCTCTAGCACATTTCATACCTGATGCTGAATATATAGAACGTTAGCTTTCTGGACCTAAAGAATGGTCTGCAAATTTTGTTTGTTAGACCCAGCCCTTACAGCTTCTTTATATAGACAGACCCTTATTCCATCATCCATCTTCTGAGAAGTCTTCTGAGTTTTATGTTCTTTAAGTATTTCATGAGTTATTAATGGTATTCAAGTCCGTGCTAAGCTGCTGAAAAGGACTGAACCAAGGACAAAGACCTGAGCCATATCACTAGAAGTCTTCCAAATTAATCCATCGTTAATGCACTGTCTGGGTATAGTCATTCAATTGTTTATTAATCCTCTCTCACATTTCCCCAAGGGCATTAAGAGAAACTACTGTCAAACAAATCAAACTGAGTATGTAGCTCTCTCTGGTCTTTCAGTCTAGTCATGCTATTAGAAGACTATTGCTCCGTCACCTTGGAACATGCTAATGGCCAGACCACCCCTAGAGATGACAGATGGGGAAATGGAAGGAACCTCATTCCCAGCGACTTTGTGGAGCTGCTATCCCTACCCTGGGCTGCCTATTGCCAGAATTCCATTAACTGAAAGATAAAATTATTTTATATAAAGAAAAAAGAAGGTATTACTCTAACAGACTTAAGTAATCCTGAAACCAAGAATCTCAGCTTAGAGAAAATGAAGCAGGCCAACTACAGGGTTTTTGGTTTTTGGGTTTTTTTTCCAAATGCATTTAATTCTGTTCCAGCCTCAAAGAGGGAAAGGACCTAAATTTTAAAAATAAAACTAAAAATTGCTCAAAAACCAAGCCATTAAAAAATTAAACTTCCTCCCTTAGCAATAAATACTGAACTGATATATACACATGAGGCTCAGGAAGGAGGCAAAAAAAGGAACCTTGGGGACTCTGTCCTATAGCAAGATTCCAACACCTCTACCAAGTCAATGCTCTTTGCCTAAAACAGAGAGAGCAGTGAAAGAGGCAGGAGAGACACCACGGGGGAGTATGCAGCCCTGGAAGGAGTCAAACATAATGGCAGAAAGAGAGAAAGAAGGGACGTAGTGTGCCTTATGGGCAAAGAAAAGGAAGTCTTCACCTAAAACATCCCCATCCCCACCCTGGGGTGTCATTGCATGTGGCTGGTCCAGCCCCCAAGTCCCTTGAGTTTATGCCTTCGCCTCCACTCCTTCTTTAGCTTTGAGACAGGGAAAGTCATTCGCACTGTGGCCGCGATGCTACCGTGGCAGCAGCCTGGCTGCCGGAGCCCTGAGGCTTCCCATTCACCACTAGCAGGAGAGGTGTCTCCACACGAACACTGGGAAAGGAATAATCCTAGAAAGACAGAAACACACAGAGGTTAAATACAGATTCTAAGATGGAAAAACTCCAGCTTGGGGATATACCACCCATAGCTTCCTCCCTCTCCCACTCAGTACATACACTCCTTACCCCCTTGACTCAAAGTTTTCAATCTTCAGGAGTAAAATGTGGGGCAGGCAGGGCACCAGTCATGTCACAGAAAGAAGGGGACAATTGTGATATAAAAAGCAAAGGTTCCTGGCACTACCTGACAAGAGGATGCCTCCAGCTCTCACAGAATCTGCTCTTCCCACAGTGTGTGTTGATAACTAGATACACAAAGCTGCTAACCATAGTGGAAATCCTTAGAAACTCGAAGTTCCAGTGTTTGTGAGGCCCTAAATCGATCTACCAAATTATAAATGAAAGTTACTTCCCCCTTTTATATCAACAGGAAAAAACAGAATGAGTGGTAAGACATTTTCCTAACTATAGAAAACACAGATCATTTTGCCAGTTCAAATTTAAGTAGCAAAGCATGTTGCTAAAAGATATCCATCAAAAAAATTTATTGTTCCACTGGGAGCCTGAAAGGGCTCTTCAGAGTCAAAGTAAAGATGCAAATTAAAGAGTTCTCACAAATCAGTTTTAAAACAATTCTTACAGAAATATGGGCAAATGACAAAAACTGGCAATCTATAGAAGGACTATAGTCATAAACATATTTTTCAAATATGTTCCACTTCACTAATAAGCAAGAAAATCAAATTAAATCAGTATTATATTTTTTATATAAAATTAACAAGTAATTTTCCCAAAGTTTCTACTCAGAGCTGAAAACACTATAGGAAAACAATTACTCACACCCACTACTGGTAATAATAACTGACATAACCTTCCAAAGAATAATTTGGCAGTATATATTCTGCATACCCTTTTTAAAGCAGATCCAGGATTCTACTTCAAAAATTCACTTACAGAAAAAATCAAGGATACGCACATAGATACAAAAATGTTTACTTTAATACTTTTTATAATAGTGAAAATCTAGATCTGGGGCCCAACAACTTTTTCTGTCAAGGACCAGGTAGTAAGTATTTTAGGTTTTGCAGACCATACAGTCTCTGTCACAGAACTGTTCAACTCTGTCACTACAGTCCAAAAGCTGCCATAGACATATTAACAAAGGTGGCTATGTTCCAATTTTACTTATTATGCACACTGAAATCTGAATTTATCATTTCCATGTGTCACAATGTATTATTCTTTTATTGATTCTTTTTTAATCATATAAAAATGTGAAAACCATTCTTAGCTCGCATGCCACACAAAACAAGTGGTGGGCCAGATTTCGTTAATGGGCCATAGCTCGCCAGCCCCTGATCTACATGGTGAAAAAGTGTTCTAATACCTACCCTCATAAGATTTTTATGAGGATTAAATGAGACAATGAAGGTAGTAAAGCCCTTAGCACAGTACCTCCCACTCAGTGCCCACCACTAATACTACCATTACGTGTCAATTCACAACAGTGTTACAGAATATGTAACATAGAGGAATGTTCACAAACACTCATATATAATATCCTACTCGCAATATAAAATATACATATGAATATGTGTATATATTTATGAAATGGAAAAAGACTAGAGATAAATACACGGAACTGTTAACATCTGAGTGACAGTGTTTCTATTTTCTTTCTTTTTCCTTACCAGTAGTTTCCCTTTTTAGTAAAAAAATAAAACTATATATATCCTCCTGAAACTCCTATTCTAGTGACATGAAATAGACAAGATATAGTTGAATCCGTTGTAAGTGAAGATCATTTCAGACATGCAGTAAGCATAAAAGAGGGTGATGTGTTAATGACTGCATAGATAAAGATTCAGAAAGCTCCCCCTGGGCAATCATTGAGATTTAAGTGAATGGGAACTGGAATAAGAACATTTAAAGAAAGAAAAAGGCCCTGAGTTATCAAAGGACACAAAGGTCTGTGGAGTGTGAGCTAGAGAGATAATGGAAGGAGATCCTAGATGTCACTTTCTTGGGAAATCCTCCCTGCACCCTAGTCCCTTGACCTTCATGAGCATCTCTGCTCTGCATTTCCAAGACAGCACCTCCTTTCATAATAACATACGTGATTGTAATTGCTGGTTTAATCGTTTGTTACTCTTATTAAATTCTGAGCTTGGAAGAAGCCAGGAATATTTTTCCCTGCTCTCCATTATATGCCCAGAACAACTTAGCCACTACTGGATGCAGACAATTATTTGATGAAGTAAGTTTTTCAGTTAATGAAGTGTTATAGTTAAGGCCAGCTGGGTGTATGATCTTCAGAATACCTAGTCCAGTATTCTTTCTACTCTTCCTCATTACCTCATTAAGAGGAGTGATCTTTATCTTATGTCTAACAAATACCTGCTATTTTTAAATTTAATATAGAATAGTGAAAATATGTAACTACTTATTAGTAATACAGAACTACTTATTAACTACTTATTTATTCTTATCTGAAATAAGAGTAAATGCTTTTTTTCTGGTAAGAATAGCTTTTAGCTTTTTTTTTTTTTTTAAGAACTTCATTGGGATAAAAGTTGGACTCCAAGAGATTCCTGGGGCTTGTGGGAATTAATACTTGATACTCAACTGTAAAAAGTGGTGCTTTTATATTATGTATATTAGCATCCTTTAGTGTTAGATTTGCCCAATTTTAAAGCAAGGAAATTGAGGATCAGAGCTTTGGGGTCATTTATTTAAAATGTTATAGCTGTAGGCTGCCCTTGTAAACTTCAAGCCCAGATCTGCTGACACTAGTAACATTCCTATGTTATGCCACTTGCCTGTGCTGCTTGTTGCATTTGCAAAATACTCTGCTGTTATTGAATCATCACCATCATTAATGATCTGAGTCTTTTTTTAAGACTCTAGCAGTATAGATGTTGATTTATGAACTACCACTCTCTTGCTGTTTAACAACTAAGATCCATCTGGCAAGAAGACTGATTCCAGAGGACTTGGAAGGATTCTAGCCACAAATGCAAACAAGCCTATGTAGAAACTGACACTATCCTGTTAAATTTACTAACATCAAGTTCTCATTAAAGAAAACATGGAAAACAAATTCACAGGGCATATGGATGGAGATCAAAGGAAAGGATGATTTGTGTAATTCTTCAATTAAGAAAAGGTGCTGAGATTTTGAAAGTAATACAAAAAGTGAAATAATACTAATTTATTTTGTATTCTGATTGCTACCAGATCATAACTTTAATGTTAATCCTTTAATAATTCACTGTATAATCCAATTTAGAAAATAAATTCACTATTTTCCAGCAATTAAAAAAAAAATTATATACATACATACACATTACTTTTATACCTATATTTTTAAAAAGGGATAAAGTCAGTTCCACTTGCAGAGCTTTTAAACAGGGAGAAAACCCTAATCCTCACTCACCTTTCCTTTGTGCTGAATTCGGTGAAGCCGAAGGTTGGGCTCCGGGATGGCCACAGAGTCTCCAATGAGCACTCCCCAGCTCTGCACTATGTTATATACCATTACTGCATAGCAAGGTCCATCTGAATCTACCAGGCCAAATGTACTGCAGGTTAAGATGGATTAAGGAAAACAAAAGAGAAATGTGGGCAGGAGAAAAGCGCAGAAACAATGATTTTAAAATTCTAGCAAGACAAATGAATGTTTTCAGTTACTTATTCAGAAATTATTTGACAGGTCCCCTCACCTCCTATGCACATCTGAGCCTTCATTAATTTTAGGTATTATATACCCCTAGAGAACAAGCACAAGGCCCATCCATTTCACTTTGCCAAAAACACGGGACAAATACAGTGAGGCCATTAAACAAATATAAATGATGAACTAGTCCAAAATTTGGGAGCTCTGGTGGCGTAGTGCCTAAGGCATTTGACTGCTAACCAGAAGGCTGGCAGTGCAAACCAACCAGCCACTCCTCGGAAGGAAGGTTGGGCAATCTACTTCCGTAGTGATACCGCCTTGGAAACCCAAGGAGGGGTCGCTATGAATCAGATCTGACTCAGTGGCAATGACTTCGGTTTTGGTTTGAGTCCAAAATTTTGCAGCTAAAATATTATTCCTGCCTCACCAATTTAACTATCACACAGTTCACCAAATCTTCTATGACTGTCAATTTAATTCCACAAACTTTCACTGAATAGCTACTATGTGTCAAGCAATGTGCTTAGCAATAAGATACCGATCCAGCTATGAGTGAACTTATAATCAGACAACTGCACTTACAGTGCAATGTGATAACTGCTAGAACAGCTGTTTCCTTGTGCTGAATTCAGTGAAGCTGAAGGTTGGGCTGTACGGAGCCCAGAGGTGAAATGTATAAATCAAAATTGGAAAGCAGGGAAGGTTTCTCTGAGCAGGGGCCCCTCAAGCTGATCTTAAAGGATAAAAAATTAGCTAGGTTAAAATAGGAAAACTTAACCCTCAATGGAAATTAACGGGGAAAAAAAAATCTTTGAGGAAACAGGCACAGGACTGACCCGGGAGTGGCAGGAGAGAATTTCACAAAGTGACATTAATGTTCTGTACTTTGATAAGGTTTGGGATTCACAGGTGTGTGCACTTGTCAAAACTCAACAAATCAACACTTAGGAGTTGCACACTTCATTGTATGTAATTTTTTATCAAAGTAAAAAATTGTAAACAAATACTGAATGTACGCTGAGTATTTAAAGTGCACTGATCTCTGCAATTTACTTTAAAATGAACCAAAAAGAAGACAAATTAATGGATGAATAGTAAGACAGACAGACAGACAGACAATGTGATAAATTAAGTATAGTAAATCATTAATGCTAAAATCTAAGTGATACATACTACATGGGTGTTCATTGTAAAATTCTTTGACTTTTGCTATATGTTTAAAACTGTTTATAATAAAATGTTGCAGAAGGGGAAGTTAGCTATGTCAAGAAGGGAGAAAAGGACTAAGAAGGAGATAAAAAAACACAGAGGCATAAAATCACTATTCAGAAGACAAGGCTGGGCCAAAAGACGGGTGGGAAAATGACAGAAGATTGATGCAAAGAGGTAGGAGGCAGGGAGTAAGTCAGGAAGGGCTGTGAACACTAAATTAAACTAAGGTGTTCAAATTTTATCCTAAAAACTACAAAGCACCAGTAAGGAATTTAAAATAAGCAAGTGGCATAATGAGATTTGCATCTTGGAAAAAATTTTTCTGGAAGCACTGTCAAACAACTGGAAAAAAAAACAGGAAGCTAGGGAGACCTGTCTGGAGAAGTGATGTGGGGCTGAATTTAAGGCATCAGAGACAAAACCAGCTGCCATTTAGTATTCTCCAACTCATGGCAACCCCAGGTGTGTCAGAGAAAAACTGTGCTCCATAGTTTCCAATGGCTGGTTTTTCAAAGTAGATAATCAGTCCTTTCTTCTGAGGTGCCTCTGGGTAGACTAGAACTTCCAATCTTGTGACTGGCAACCAAGAGCATTAGCCATTTCACCACCCAGGGACTTTAGAGACAGAGAAGCAGGGACAAAAAGGTGAATCAACAGAACGTGGGGAGTGCCTCAATACAGGAGAATGAGAAAGTCTAGAAAGACTTTGTTGTTGTTGTTGTTATGTGCCGTCAAGTCGGCCCCAACTCATAGCAACCCCTCCTTGGGTTTCCGAGGCAGTATCACTACAGAAGTAGATTGCCCAACCTTCCTTCCGAGGAGTGGCTGGTGGGTTTGAACCGTCAGCCTTCTGGTTAGCAGTCAAGTGCCTTAGGCACTATGCTACCAGAGCTCCTAGAAAGAATTTAGATGTCTTAATTATGTGACTGAGTAGAGATAGTGTCATTCATTGATAGGAAATGCAAGAGAGAGAAACACATTTAGATGAAAAACTGATGAGATCAATTCTGAACATACTGAGTTAGAGATTTTTCTAGTTGGAGCTCATAAGCAATGGATTAGAGGAAGCCAAAGTTTGGAAGTGAACACTAACAATGTCCTCAGTTGTCAGGGAAAGGCTGAGAAATGAAGGCAACTGGTTACCTGTGATTATACAGGAGGCAGCCAAAGCCTGGGTACACATGACATAACCAAGGGAGAGGATCTACAGACGAGATGGCAAAGAATTGGCTATTCCAAGTGCATCACCTCAGGCACACTTGAATTCATGGAAAATACTGCAATCAAGCATAGCACTCTCCTGGTAAATTCCATCAAAGCCTCAGAATCCTTCTGCACAAAGGATGTTAAGCAACCACTGCCAACTGATCAAAATCGGCACCTATTTGCCATCACAGTGTAGACAGAAAAGAGGACAGAGACAAGAGCAAGACTCCTGGGAAGCTGACATTTAGAAGTTGGGAAGAAAAAGAGAAACCAAGAAGTGGCAAAAGATTTATTTGTTCTCAAAAAAAAAAAATTAAACTCACTGCCGTCGAATCGGTTCTAATTCACAGCGACCCCTCCTTGGGTTTCCAAGGCTGTGTCTCTACAGAAATAGATTGCCCAGTCTTCCTTCCAAGGAGTGGCTGGTGGGTTTGAACCACCAACCTTCTGATTAGTAGTCCAATGCCTTAGGCACTATGCCACCAGAGGCTAAAACTTACGATTACCTATATCCCTGTTTTCATTCCTCTTAGCTCTGTGGTCTACTCTAATTAACAAAAACTTTTCTCAACTAATTTCTTGCTCTTAAACTCATCAAATACACACATCTCTAGAAAACGCGATGGGGGAAGCTCGGGAATATAATTTGGTGTATTTCAGTTTAGACAGAGGGGAAGGGACGTGAAAGGAAATAGTGAAAGACCAGTTAGAACATACAGAGCCAGGTAGTGGAAGACACTGGATCAGGTCCCTAGAAACATGCTGGTGATTGTAGAAAAAAACAATTACAGCAGATAAAAGAAAGAGGAAACCAGTCAGCCAGAGATTAGGAAGTGAGTGAGAGTACTGACTAAATGCCAGTATTTCAAGAATTTAAAATTTTCCAAATGAATGTTCTTAACTCATTTCCTCACTAGTCTGTAAGCATGCTTCACCTTTTTGTTTGTGTTTTTTTAAAACTCCCTACAAGCAGGGCACACTGCAGATGCTCACTGCTTGTTGAATGATATCTGAGACAATCTCACTAACTAGACTTTCAATCTTAACTCAAAGTTCTCCTACCAGAATTGCCTAAACATAGCCAAGTCCAGGCAGAACTGAGAATTCTTCCTCCTACAACTTCCATGATCATAAAAATACAAAGCGGCAGAAAATTTCAAGGTTCCCAACTGTCTTAAAAAAGTGTAGACTGTCAAATTTCACCTCTGGATGGAGGACTCCCCAAAGCACCAGGCTCAGGTAGAAAATGGGCTGTGCCACAACCTGTAAAGGCCTCTGATTGAGACTATCAGATGTCACCGAGACAGTACTAGAGCCCTGGGCAGTGCAGACCGTTAACATGTTCCACTGCTAACCAAAAAGGTGGTGGTTCAAGTCCACCCAGAGGTGCCTTGGAGAAAGACCTGGCAATCTACTTCTAAAAACATAGCCACTGAAAATCCCAGGGAGCAGAGCTCTACTCTGACACGTGGGGTTGTCATGAGTCAGAATCAACTCAAGAGCAAATGGTCCAACTGGTTAGACATACCTGCTCATGGGACAGTCCCAGAAAGGAAGAGGCCATTAATCTGTGGCCACTAACAATGTCCTCAGTTGTTAGGGAAAGGCTAAGAAATGAGGGCAATTAGTTCAGGAGGGTATAAAAGAGGAAAAGCAAGAGACACTCACAAAGGGACTTTCTCCTCTGTGGTGAGGCTAAACACCACTTTTCCCAGGACTACAGCACCACCGTTCACACCAGGCTGCAACGCACTCAGGGGCTTGAGCTCCAGGGTCACCTTCTGCCCAGAGGCTGACTGATAGCACCCATTACCACAAGGACCTAGATGGGCTGGGCGTAAGCTTCCCAGCATGCTCTGCAACTTTTTGGTCTTTACCTTTCCCTGCAAAAGAAACAGTTAAGAGGCCAGAACTTAAGTCACTCTCCTTGAGAGTCTACTCCTTCTCTCCCACCCATCCACCCACCTCTATCAGATCACTACCACATGAGCCTATTCTATTCTTATTTTACTGAGCCTACCCAAAATAAAAGAGTAGGATCCAGTCTTTAAACATCTTTACCTTGCTCTCAAGGAGGCTGGTTAATCTAGCCAGGAATTCCAGAAGCTGTTGCTCCCGTTGCTGGGGCTCTGGCCAGGCAGGGTCCAGTGCTGCAGCCCGAGAGAAGCCTTCCAGGGCCTCCCCATAACTCTCTTCATATTTATGCAACTGCACAAGAAGTAACCAAAAATTGCCCAGTTACAAGTGCATTTAACACAAACTATGCCAGAGGAAGTAAAAGTACAGCTATCTATAGAAATAAACTGTTTTCCTTCCCAGTCCTATCATGAATAACCTGGAGAGCTAGCAACACTTTACAACTCCTTCTTGCCCAAAGTGATGATAACCCCAAAGTTAGACTCATTTCAAAGAACTTAACTTCCAAACTCTAAAATAATTAAGTTGCATCTATTGGGTCATTTTTATATTTATAGTTAGTGTTTCAAAAAAGTCTTCTAAACTATCCCCTATCCTCTATGTACCTTCCTACCTTCTCAGTACCTTCTCCTTTCCCTTCAATGATTTCAACAGATACTGAAGCCAAAGTGAGCTAACTCTTCCCAGAAAAAATTTGGCTTCTTGCCAGCAGTTTGTACCCAACTTTATCTCTGTATGTAATCAGTTACCTTCATAGACTAAGATCTTAGAAAAAAAAAATAATAAAAACACCGATTCATAGCAACCCCTCTTTGGGTTTCTAAAGCAGTATCACTACAGAAACAGACTGTCCAACCTTCCTACCGCAGAGTGCTTGGTGGGTTTGAACCGCCAGCCTTCTGGTTAGCAGTCAAGTGCCTTATGCACTATGCCACCAGAGCTCCTTGATGTTTTCTTTATTTGACCTTCAGAGGACCACCATCCCATAGGTCTTACCGTTGCCCTGTTCAGGTGAAGGTCAGGATTGCTGGAAGCTGTCCTGTCAACCTTCTCCTATGGTAGGATAAAAAGATCATTAGTGGATTCGTCTCCTCCTTAAATCTAAACCTCCTTTCTCTAGAAAAATGTTAAATTTCTTCATCAGCAAAATGCTACCTACACCTACATTGTTAGATAGCAACTGCTTGTTACCAAAAAGTATAACACAAAACATCATCTAAAAAGGTTTACTCAGTCCCTGAAACTTCAGCAATGTATAGGTTTTGTGTAACTTTAAGATATGATTATAATTTATCCATACAATATTAGAAAAACAGAATAAAAAGAAGTATGTGAAAGCATTATGATAAAAACATTTTTTGTGAATTGTGAGATACTGATAAATGACAGAAAGCATGACAGAAACGATATTAACTTCCTGCATTTCCTCTGCCCAAGAGTTTGACTCCAGACACATGCAGAATCATGTTTCTGTATCTACTCACGCAATAAAGTCAAATTCTGATTCTCTAATTACAGTGTGCTCATGTGGAACCTATACATAGGCCAAAAGGTAGTCCTTTGAATAAAACAAAGAGATACTGATGGTTTAATCAGGAAAGGAATGCGTCAGGGTTGTAACTTTTTACCATACTTGCTCAATCTGTATGCAGAGCAAATAATCTGAGAAGCTGGACAATATGAAGAAGAGCACAGGCTCAGGACTGGAGGAAGACTCATTATCAATCTCAGACATGCAGGTGACACAACCTTGCTCTCGGAAAGCAAAGAAGGCCTGAAGCACTGACTGGTGAAGATCAAAGACTACACCTCTCAGTAAGGGTTACACCTCAACATAAAGAAAATGAAGGTCCTCACAACTGGACCAACAAGCAACACCAAGATAAACAAAGAAAATACTAAAGTTGTCAGGGATTTCATTTTACTTGGATCCACAATCAACACTCATGCAAGCAGCAGTCAAGAAATCAAATGATACATTGCATGGGGCAAATTGCTGCAAAAGAACTTCTTGAAGTGTTAAAAACCAAAGCTGTCACCCTGAGGACTAAGATGCACCTGACCCAAGCCATGATATTTTCAATTGCCTGCATGCAAAAGCTGAACAATATATAAGAAGACTGAAGAAGAACTGATGCATTTGAATTATGGTGCTGACAAAGAAAATTGAATACACCACGGATTGACCGAAGAATGAACAAATCTACCTCAGAAGAAGTACAGCCAGAACGCTGCTTAGAAACGGAGATGGCAAGACTTCATCTCACATACTTTGGACACGTTATCAGAAGGGACCAATCCTTGAAGAGAGACATCATGCTTGACAAAGTGGAGGGTTAGCGAAAAAGAAGACCTCAATGAGACAGAGTGACACAGTGGGGCAACAATGGACTAAAACACAGCAACGACTCTAAGAACAGTGCAGGACCAGCAGTGTTTCATTCTGTTGTACACAGGGTCACTGTGAGGTGGCATCAACTGAAGAACACCTCACAGTAACAATTACAATGCCTGCCAAAAATTATAGGACAGGGAAGACAAATGTGCTGTGAACAAACTGATGGTTATCTTCATTTTACTTTTTTTTAATTCCACTCATCGTCTGGCATATTGCCTGGCATGTAAATTTAAATTGTTCAGATATGTTTAAAAATGCAGGTGTAGATGAAGAATTTTAGAGTTAAAAACAAGTATTTAGCACAAGGCAAATATAAAGTCATAAAGGAATATACCATATTATTACTTGATATGTAAATATTCATCAGATTAAGAAATTAGAATAAAATATAATTTCTCTGCCTAAAAGTTCCCTGACTGGAAAAAGGGCAGTCCCAAAACCACACACATGAATATGGATAATAGCATTCTTCTATTCTGCCAGATAGAGCAAAGAAATTAAGTCCTGACACCTGGTACAACATAGATGATGCTTGAAAACATTAACATGGTAAAATAAGTCAGTCAAAAAGGATAAATATTGTGTGATTCCACTTACATGAATTATCTAAAACAGGTAAATATATACAGACCTGTTTATGAGTGGTTACGAGGGGCAGGCAGGAGGGAGGGTGAAAGAGGACTCACTGCCTGGGGGACACCGAGCTTCTATTAAGGGTGACAGAGAAATGTGCAACAGGTAACGGTGATGGTTGCATGACACGATGAACACGATGTCACTGAAGTGCACATGTGAAGAATGTTGGAACAGCAAATGTTTTGTTACATACACCTTTACTACAATAAAAAAAAAGACATACTACTTTATTGATAACAGATCTTATAATTAAGTGTGGGGGTTCTGTTATTGTGAAAATGAGGTTTCCTGATAAATTGTAAAATGCCTCTGGGGAAATATAATGGCAAGTTAAGAAGCAATCCCTTATGTTAAAAGAAGTAAAGCAAAAGAAAGATGAATATGAGGGTTAACTACTAAGTGTTCAGAAGGCCAGTGAGAACCTTCTAATAATGAGTAATTGCGCAGTCAAAGCCTGAAGGACACACCCTTGTGTGTGACTATTGACATAAAGTGGCCTAAAAGCAAAGGATGATCTCCAGGAATTACTTCCTAGGAAATGACGCAGAAGGGGCTGCATGCTGCTACCTACTTGAGTCTAAGGGACCCCAGAGCCATAATACCTAATGGTTAATTTGGAGATAGCACTTAATTTGCACAGCCAATGTGCCTCAAGTGCAGCTACCACTCCTCAGTCAATGGGGACTTGCATGTTGCTGTAATGCGGAACAGGTTTCATCAGAGCTTCCAGACTAAGACAGACTAGGTAAAAAGTCTGGTGATGTAATTCTGAAAACTCAGCCAATAAAAAACTACAGATCACAATGGTCTGACACCCCACCAATCAGGGGAAAGGTGAAGGACCAGGCAGCATTTCATTCTGTTGGGCATGAGGTCACCATGAATCAGGAGTTGACTAGGTAGCAGCTAAAAGCAACAGGAACTGGAGTTTTCCTTTTTATTTAAAAATGTACACCAATATGAGTTAAGTATTAATTTTAATAAATTTTTTCCCAATTGAAATGACGTACTTGCTAAGGTAGATTTTGTGATTTGGTTATACATGCCTGTGAGAAATCTAAACTGCTCAAGGAGCTTTCTAGCACTGAGACACCACATTGCAAATGGCTGTTAATACTCAAGTTGTACAGAAAAATAAGTCACCTCTGTAGACACAGCTTAGCAAGCCCACATATGTTGGATGTCAGCAAGCGCTGCCAAGGCTCCTGGCTAAAGGGCCACAAGGAAGGCAGAATGATGCTCTTGCTTCTGTTGCTGCCTCTATTCTTCTGGCCTGGGTGACCATTAAGTACTTACTGCTTGGGCATAGGCACTGAGGGCTTGCTGGGAGATCTTAGGGCTCTGGCCAGTATTGAAGTAAAGCGAAAGGTATGCATTCCCCAGGATATCTGGAGGAAAAACAGAGAGGTGGATCATCTCAGAGCCCAATTTCAAGATGTACCCTATTTTGGTCATCCTCAGAAGTCTATTTGAAAGGCTTCATATCTGATACAAACCAGTGATAATACCACATTTAGTCTATCTAAAATTCTACTGATATAGAGAGACAAACATGGATCCCATGAAGAAACCTGAACAGATTGTAGTAAGCTCTGCTTTCCTTAGATGGAAACATAGCCCCCTCTCTTGGATCAAGAGTTCCTAGAAGAGTGGTTCATCAAAAATACTTTAGGGGCTTCTTCAAAACAAAGATGCCCTGGCTTTCACCCTTCTGAGTAAGAATCAGTAGGCAGGCTCCAGACGATTCTGGTGTGCAGCCATGGTTGAGAACCACTGCTCTAGAAACGTCTGGAGATCTTTTGAGGGCACTCACACCAGGAGCGGCCATCATGGACATCCATCTGCACAGCCAACTTGGCCTGTCGGACACTGTCCATGACATGGCGAGAGTGTTCGTCTCCATTGTCAGTCCGCAGTTGGCGAAGCACCATTGACAGGTTTTGTAGGGAGACTTTGTTCTTGCACTGCAAATGGAAAAGATTTTTACTCAACCTTCCTAATTATACCTCGTCTTTCCAGATTTATTCTGACTTCAGTCCTCTCTTAAATCTAAATCTTCATCTTAATTCTTGCTGCTATCTGCATCTTAGACCCCCGTTTACAATGACAAACTTAGCTGTTAACTTTCCTTCAATCCTCATCTACCCTGAACCTGATCCTGTCACCTTTTTCCTTTCTCAGTTTCCTGTCCTGACCTTCTTCACCCAGGTTTGCTCCCCATTCTTCCTCCCATCTAATTCTGTTCTCCTGGTCCAACTCAGCTCAACTCGTATTCATGTCCTAGGGAAATTTACAGACCAGAGGAATCCCATTCTTCCCATATGCATTTTCTGAGGGCACAGCAGGCAGCTCACATGGGTGAGGGCTCCTGAGAAGCAGGTGTGGGCAGCTGCAACATCCCCTTTCTTCCAGTACACCTCACCCAGCTGGTTCCAGGCTTCCACCAGCTCAGGCTCCAGCTTCACAGCCTTTGACAGAAGCTCCTCAGCCCTAAGGCTGTAGGCAGGAGTCACATTCAGTGCCTTTCCAGTTAGCATCAGAACCTGGGCATTACCCTGGACAGAGCCTAAGAGAGAAAGAAAAAGAGAAAAGGAAGTAGAAAAACCCCACTCAGTCTTTCAGATAAGACTATGACACTTGCTCTCAAGGACTAACTCCATGCCAGCTCTAGAAATGGAAGAACTGAAGAAAATCTTTATATGTAAACCACTTATTAAAAGCCAACCTTATGGCAGACAATGGTCCTTTAAGTGTATTTGTATGATCTGAATTCCCAGGTGTATAGTAGAGCTGACAAGGGACAAGGCTGTAGTCACTTCTTGGTCACAGCCAGCTACCCAGAGGGACCAAGTAGTTGAACCTGTAGGCTCAGGACCATAGTCACAGGCGACATCAAGCTCAACTGGCATAACATGCTACACAAAACATTGTTCCACCTCCTACTTTGGCAAGTAGCGACTGGGATCTTAAAAGCCTGCAAGCAGCCATCTAGATGCAACAATGGATTTCTCCTTGCCCAGAGCAAAGAAGAATGAAGAAAACCAAAGATTCATGGAAAGAATTAGTCCTAGCAACTGGTATACCATGCGATCTGCAGCCTATATGACTATGAGACCGGAAGAACTAGATGGTGCCCAGCTACCACCGTCAACCACTCAGAGGGGGATCTACGTAGGAGATCTTGGATAGAGAGGGAGAACGATGTGGAACAAAACTCAAATATCATTTGGAAAAAAAAGGGGGAAGGGGAACAGATTTGCTGGTCTGATAGAGCCTGGTGGAACCACTGAGACTATGGCCCCTAGCTGCCCTTCAGGTCTGGAATTGAACCCACACCTGTGGCTTCCAGCCAAACAAAAGACAGGCACAGGAGCTGAACATTTACCTGAGGTAGGTACACTCCTTAGAGAGAACAATCATGGGAGAAAGAAGGGCTGTTTATGCACAGGGAGACAGCTCAGAGGGTAGGGGTGCAAGAAGGGATGGACACAGGGAAGAGTTAACTATCGGAAGAAGTGGGAGGGGAGCTGTTGCATTGTGATAAATTGTAGTCAATGTCATGAGACAAAGTGTATGTGAACTGCTGTCTGGAAAGTGAATTTGCTCTGTAAATTTTTACCCAAAAAAATTTTTAAAAAAAGCCAACCTTATGCAGAGTACTATGTTGTGAAATGGGGTAACAAAGAAAGTACTACCCCTACCCTTCAGGATTTTACAACCTGGTGGAAAAGACAAAGTATACGCATAAAAGAGTAAAACAATGGAAAGGAACATATGCTATATACCCAGTGAATTGGTTTTAAAAAGTCAAGAGGACAGAAGATGAGGCCCTCCAGGTTAGAAAATGATGTCGGCCCAGGTACAAAGACAGAAGTATATGTGATGCGTTCATGGGAGAATGGAAGGACCAACCTGGAAGAAATGAAAAGCTCCTCTGTAACTAGTCAGAGATGAGCTTAGGAAAATGAATGAGATGATGCAGCTTTGTATACCAGATTAAGGGGTTTAGACGTCTGCTAGCCAATAGTCATGGTCTTACAAAATTCTATCACTCTATCATGCGATCTCTGATGTCATTTCCATCACCAAACGATATTTTCCAACTACCAATGATTCTTCATTTCCAACTTCTGCATTCCAATCACCAGTAATATGAATACATCTTGACTGTATGTTTGGTCAATTTCAGACTGCAGAAGTTGGTAAAAATCTTTAATTTCAGCATCTGTGGTTGGTGCATAAATTTGAATAGCAGTAGTATTAACTGGTCTTCCTTGTAGACGTATGGATATTATCCTGCCAGCATTGTACTTCAGGATAGATCTTGACACATTCTTTGTGCTATTGAATTCAATGCCATCCCTTTTCAATTTGTCATTCCTGGCACAGTAGACCATATGATCGTCTGATTCAAAATGGCAAAACCCAGTCTACTTCAACTCATTAATGCCTGACATCGATCTTTATGCATTCCATTTCATTTATGACAACTTCTCATTTTCCTAGATTCATATTTCACACATTCTATGTTCCAATTATTAAATGGATGTTTGCAGCTCTTTCTTCCCATTCTGAGTCATGCCCCATGAGAAAATGAAGGTCCTGAAAGCTGTACTCCATCCTCTTCATTAAGGGGACTCTACTTTGAGGAGGCAGCTCTTCCCCAGTAGTATTCTGAGTGCCGTCCAACCTGAGGGACTCATCTCCCAGCAGTATATCAGACAATGTTTTGGAGATATTCATAAACTTGCCAGTAACATATCAGACAGTATTTCACCGCTATTTATAAGGTTTTCACTGGCCAAGTTTTTAAAAAATGGATAGTTCCATCCTTCTACCCAGTCTATCTGACACTGAAGATCATGTGATAAAATTTGGCTAGACCAATGACTTGTTCATTGCAAACACTCTTTTTCAACAACACAAATGGCACATATATATGTGGGCCTCACCAGGTGGAATACATAGAAATCAGAATAACTACGTCAGTGGAAAGAGGCAATGGAGAAGCTCATTATCTTCAGCCAAAACAAGCCAGGAGCTGACTGTGGAACAGACTATCAATTGCTCACATATAAATCCCAGTTGAAGCTGAAGAAAATTAAGACAAGTGCACAAGAGGCAATATATGACCTTAATTATATCCCACCTGAATTTAGAGACCATCTGAAGAACAGATTTGAAGCACTGAACACCAATGACTTAAGACTAGATGAGTTGTGAGTTGAGGGATGACATCAAGAACAACATATATAAAGAAAGCAAAAGACCATTAAAAAGGCAGGAAAGGCGGAGGGGGATCTCTGTAGGAGATCCTGGATAGAGTGGGAGAACAATATGGAACAAAACTCAAAATCATTAAAAAAAAAAAAAGGACCAGGTTTGCTGCTCTGATAGAGCCTGATGGAACCACTGAGGCTGTGGCCCCTAGCTGACTTTTAGATCTAGAACTGAACCCACTCCTGTGGCTTCCAGCCAAACAAAAGACGGACATATGAGCTGAACATTTACAATAGGCAGATACTCTCCTTGGAGAGATCAATCATGGGAGAATACAAGGGCTGTGTATGCACAGGAAGACAGCTCGGGGGCAGGAGTGCATGGAAGGGAAGGACACAGGGAAGAGGTAACTATGGGGAAAAAGTGGGAGGGGAGCTGTTGCGTTGTGGTAAATTGTAGTCAAGTCATGAGACAAAGTATATGTGAGCTGCTGTATGGAAAATGAATTTGCTCTGTAAACTTTCACCCACATCACAATGAAAAATTTTTTTTAAAAGGCAGGAAAGGAGGAAAAGACCAAAATGGATGCCAGAAGAGACTCTGCAACTTGCTCTTGAATGGAGTATAGCTAAAGCAAATGGTAGAAATGACAAGATAAAAGAGTTGAACAGATCTCAAAGAGCAGCTCAAAAAGACAAAGCAAATTATTATAACGAAACATGCGAAAGACCTAGAGTTGGAAAACCAAAGGGGAAAAACACACTCGGCTTTTCTAAAGCTGAAAAAACTAAAGAAAAAAGGCAGCCATGAATTGCAATATTGATACTTTTGAATTGTGGTGTTTGTGAAGAATACTGAAAGTACTGTGGACTGCCAGAAGAACACACAAATGTGTCCTGGAAGAAGTGCAGCTGGAATGCTCCTTAAAAGCAGCAATGGCCAGACTTCATCTCACGTACTTCGACTATGTTGTCAGAAGGGACCATTCCCTGGAGAAGGACATCATGCTTGGTAAAGTGGAGTGTCAGCAAAAAAGGAGAAGGACCTCACTGAGATGGACTGACACAGTGGCTGCAACAATGGGCTCAGGAACAGCAAGGATTGTGAGGATGGCAAAGGACTGGGCAGTGTTTCATTCTGTTGTACAGAGGGTCGCTCTCAGTTGGAGCAGACTCAATGGCACCTAACAATAACAACAACATGGGCAAAATACTGAATGATGCAGGAAGCATCAAAAGAAGATGGAAGGAATACAGAATCACTGTACAAAAATGAATCGGTTGACTTTAAACTATTTCAGGGGGGTGGAGTATGATCAAGAACCAACAGTACTGAAGGAAGAAACTGAAGCTACACTGAAGGAATTGACGAAAAACAAGTCTCCAGGAACTGAAAGACTAACCATTGAGACGTTTCAATAGATGCTATGCTGGGGGCACTTATTCATCTATGCCAAGTGATCTGGAAGACACCTAGCTACCTGGCCAACTGGCTGGAAGAGATTGATATTTGTACCCATTCAAAACAAAAGTGATCCGATAGTTATGTGGAAATTATCAAATATCATTAATATCACATGCAAGTAAAATTTTGCTGAAGGAAATTCAAAAATGGTTGCAGCAGTATACTGACAGGGAACTTCCAGAAATGAAAGCTGGATTCAGAAGAGAACATGGAACAAGGGCTATCACTGCTAATGTCAGATAGATCTTGGCTGAAAGCAAAGATGATGACTTGTGTTTTATTGACTATGCATAGGCATTTGTTTGTGTGGGTCACAACAAATTAGGGATAACATTATGAAGAAAGGGAATTCCAGAATGCTTAATTATGCTCATGAAGAACCTACACACAGACCAAGAGGCTGTCATTCACAAAGAATGACTTTTCTTGTGGATATCGCATGGCTTAAAATCAGGAAAGGTGTGTATCAGGGTTGTATCCTTTCACCATACTTATTCAATCTCTATGTTAAGCAATAATCTGAGAAGCTGGACTATACAAAGATGAACACAGCATCAGGATTGGAGGAAGACTCATTAACAACCTGCAATATGCAAACGACACAACCTTGCTTGCTGAAAGTGAAGAGGACTTGAAGCACTTGCTGATGAAGATTAAAGACCACAGCCTTCGGTATAGAATACACCAACATAAAGAAAACAAAAATCCTCACAACTGGCCCAATAAGTAGCATTATGATAAATGGAGGAAAGATTGAAGTTGTCAAAGATTTCATTTTACTTAGATCTACAATCAACACCTATGGAAGCAACAGTCAAGAAATCAGCCATCATACTGCACTGGGAAAATCTGCTGCAAAAGACTTCTTTGAAGTGCTAAAGAGCAAAGATGTCACTTTGAATACTAAGGTATACCTAACGCAGCCATGGTATTTTCAATAGCCTCATAGGCATGTAAAAGCTGGACAATGAATAAGGAAGAAAAGGGAGAGTTGATGCCTTTGAGTTATGGTGCTGGCGAAGAATACTGAAAACACCATGGACTGCCAGAAGAACTAACAAATCTGGAAGAAGTCCTAGAAGAAGTGCAGCCAGAATGAATGCTCCTTAGAAGCGAAAATGGCCAGACTTGGTCTCTCTTACCTTGGTCATGTTGTCAGAAGGGACCATTCCCTGGAGAAGGATATCATGCTTGGTAAATTGGAGGGTCAGCAAAAAAGGGGAAGACCTCAACAAGATGAACTGACACAGTGTCTGCAACGATGTGCTCAAGTATAGCAAGGATTTTAAGGATTGTGCACAACTAGGGAATGTTTTGTTCTGTTGTTCATAAGGTTGCTATGAGTCAGAGCTGACTCAATGGCATCTAACAACAGCAAGAGTCAAAGTACAAATCTTTGAAGACACTTGAGCAAAGAGGCAGAGAAGACAACAAGATTAAATGAAATAATGTTCAGAAAGATAACCATGGCTATAGTAAATTATATAAATTGATTTGGAAATGAAAAAATTAGAGGCAGAAAAATCAGATCCTGAATAGAGTGGGAGGAAAAATGTAGAACAAAATTCAAAAACACAAAAATGACCAGAATTACTAGTCAGATAGAGACTGGTGGAACCCCCAAGACTATGGTACCAGGTTATCCCATGGGCCTGGAACTAGACTCCCTTCCATAGATTAGCTCTCAGCCAACCAGCAGAAAGGCCTGTAAGCAAAACACTGACCCTAGGGAGATGCACCCACCTACCCTAGGAGATGGACCCCTTGGATCAGCCAACCAGGAGACATGAGAATGGCAGCATGTGCATAGAGAAAAAGCTGGGCAGACAGGAATGCACAGATAAGAAGGACACATGGAAGGGGTGATCACAGGGAGGAGATGGTACGAGAGCTATTTATTCTGGGGATAGTAATTGGGACCATGAAATCAAATGCATATGAACTGTTGAGAGTAAAACAAATCTGCTTTGTAAATGTGCACCCAAATCACAGTAAAAATTTGAAAATAAATAAAACAAAATGTAACTTGATTGAAATATTACTGCAATTGTTTTTAACAAATATGTTCTTTTATTCCTATCAACCAGATAGGATGCTTCTGTTACTTTTTGGTTCATCTTGTTTACTATAATGAAACTTCAGGAAATGTAGTTTAGAGAACTGAAAGGTCACCATCCTGTGTAAAGGCCCTTAGAAGAAATATTCTGTTATACCATCCTGTAGCCATTACAAATAGGATCCCAAAGAGGGTAGAGACAAAAAGCAAACCTCTGTAACATTAAAGTGAAGAGCAGGGATGGGGATGTGATCTTTTGGAATTCATACCCACTACTTCCTCCATCTGCCGTAGCGTCTTCTCCATCTCCTTCTGCACATCCTGCTGCTTCCTCCCAGCATCCTCAACACTGTGTGTCTCAAAATAGCAGTCTCGAAATGAATAGAGCTGATCCACCAGTTCCTAGGAAGTGAAAGGATGGTACCATTAGGCAGAAAGAACACCACTGAAGGAAATTTGAGATTGACTAGCCACACCAGCCTTTGGCCTAGAAATACTGATTCCCTATCTCACCTAGGAATGGCACAACAGGCAGGTGGCCAATCCTATCAAAATGCCACAAATCATGCATGGAAGTAGCCAATGCCCCAGGTAGACTGTCAGGTTGTCCCATACCAGTCTCTGCACTGTGATGACACTTCTTTCTCCACCAGTCCCAGCCGAGCTTCCAATGTGACTAAGCACTTTACCTACCACAGTCAGGATGGGAGATAACACTTTATAACTTGAGATAAACCAAAAAGTAACAGAATCATCCTATCTGGTTCTGAGCCCAAAAAATAAAACTTTGAACTTTATGCTTAAACAAAGAATTCCTAACAAAAACATTTATATCCTGATTTTCCTATGCTGATGTCTGGAAATATGACAGGACTTATATAAATAGGATAAACGTGAAAAAGGCACATTTTCCACCATGAACAGACCAATCTGAACTTGGTAACCTCACTATTTTTGCAGATTTTTAAAAAAATATTTGTGCTCTTGTTAAGTTTTTCTTTTTTGTTTTGTTTTGTTCTATTTGGCAAGTCATCTTCGGGCCTCCTGCATTCTTTGCAAGCAAGCATTCTCTTTTCTCTTTTAAGTGCTTTATCACAAAGTCTTCCTAGACTTTGTCAAAGCTCTTTCTAATACTGAATAGTAGCATAAACACATAGTCCAATCTCATCAAATCTTATCAACCACCTCCACAAAACAGCCCAAATCCATCCACCTGTCTCCATCCTACTAGACCATCTTGGTCTGAGTCAGCATCATTTCTTGCCTAGACTATTCCAATAGATTCCTAACAGGGCATCTTGCGTCTACTCTTTCCCATTCTCAGTAGAGTCAGAGTGACCTTATAAAAGTATGCATCAAATCACAAATTACCTCCAATACCTGCCCACTACAGTTAGAAAAAAATCCAACTCCTAAAATCCAACTTCTTACCGTGGCCTACAAGGCCCTATATGATCTGACCCTGCACTACCTACCCATCCTGCCACAAACTTCACACACTCCAGCCACCCTGACTTTCACTCAATTCCTCAAACCCACCAAACTCCATCCCACTTTACATATGCTCTTCCTTCTGCCTGGAACACTTTTCCCCTACATCTTCGCATAGTTCATTCCTCATCATCATTTAGATCTCAGCTCAACTTCTCAGAAAGGCTTTCCCTAAGTACCTAATCAAAAAGTAATTTCTTTCTCCTCTCTTCAACAGTTAAATCATACTTTTTTCTTCAAGATAACATTTTACTTATCATTTGACATTATATTGTGTATTGTTAGTCTCTACCACTAGAATGTAAGCTCCATGATGGGAGGAACTTTATCTGTTTTGTTTACAACTGTATCTGAGCACTAGAACAGGGCTTGTTGTTGTCGTTGTTATTATGTGTGGTCAAGTCGGCCCCGACTCATAGCGACCCCTCCTTGGGTTTCCGAGGCAGTATCACTACGGAAGTAGGATTGCCCAACCTTCCTTCCGAGGAGTGGCTGGTGGGTTTGAACCGCCGGCCTTCTGGTTAGCAGTCAAGTGCTTTAGCCACTATGCTACCAGACAACAGGGCTTAGAACATGATAAAAAGCAAAAAAATAAATTTGCTGCCATCAAGTCGATTCTGACTCATAGCAACTACCACAGGGTTTCCAAGGCTGTAAACCTTCATGAAAGTACACTGCCTCATCGTTCTCCCACAGAGCGGCTAGGGGGTTCAAACTGCTGACCTTTTTGGTTAGCAGGCCAATTCTTAAACCATAACAGTATCTTAACCACAACACCACCTGAGCTCCTTTGGCATATGACAGGCTATCATTAAATACACTGGTTGAATGAATTCATTAATGGATCATCCTTATCTGTGACAAGGAAGGAGCTCTGGTGGCATAGTGGTTAATACATTCAGCTGCTAACCAAAAGATTGGTGGTTCAAACCCACCAGCTGCTCCCTGGGAGAACAATAAGACAGTCTGCTTCCATAAAGATTTAGAGCCTTGAAAACCCCATGGGAAAGTTCTAGTCTGTAGAGAGTCACTATGAGTCAGAATCGACTCAATGGCAGTGGGTTTGGGTTTTTTGGTTTATCCCACTCAATTCCTTCACCCAAAATACCCCAAGTATCTTCTACCAACCTGCTTAGGGCATCTACCACAAACAAGCCCAGGAAGAAACAATCCTCAGCAATAATTACAATCTACCTCCTTTTGTCCTGAAATCAGCATAACTGTAAATTGGGAGTTTTAAACAGAGTTTTTATTGTTTGTTTATTTGTTTGTTTTCCTCACTGTTAAAGCAAGCATGCAAAAAAATTATCTAGTTGTTTTGTTTTGCTGGAGTGGATATTTTTTAAAACATTTTTTCTCATGGCAAAATCAATGTAAGTTGTAAGTAAAAAAATTCCTCATAATCACCCTCAAATAACCTCAGGGAAAACAACTGTTCCCTATAGATTTTCATATTTTTTTCTACAGATAATCAAAAATATATACACAATGTTTCTTATGTGAAGCCAGGACGAGAACATGCGATTTCAGTCAGTACACACTAGGAAATGTAATGATGTTAATCTAAATCAGCCAGAAGTGAAATAAAGCCTACACTCTTAAAAGTGTTATTAATCTGTTCAAGAAATAAAGAAATGTCACCAAATTTCAAATTTTTGCATTAGACGCCTTGAAGCAGGTTATAAACTTATCATAGGTCTGATGTTTAAACTTCAGGCTGTGTTAGTACACAAGGGGCTGAGTTTCTGAGATTTAAAATGATAACCTTGGATCATTAATAGAAAGAGCCAAGCAACTAGTTAACACCTACCTACCAAGTATAAAAGACTATTCCTAGTTTCAACCACAATCAAATGTGGACTGGGTGGAGCTAGACCCCTCTGCATCAAATCTCAAACTGGGATGACCCTTAACTGGGATTACAATGCAAAAATCAAAATTGTTAAATCCTAAATAGAGTACCAGGATACATGCGGTGTATGCCATTACTGTGATTTCAAAGCAGTGAAGAACTGAAGAAATGGTCTTGGGGGAGGGGGAGTGGCAAAAACTGCATGAGATAAAAAACTATATATACATATATACGTGCTTTTTGTTAAGGTGAATCGAGAAATAACTTCCTCCTTAAGAATGTGCAGGAATAGTTAGATGCAACAAATCTTTTTCCACGCAGGATTGAAATTAAGTGTTGCCAGGTCAGCAGCAGGAGATCCCAACACACAGGCGGCGTCTCTCCCCTGGCCTGAGAACGTTCCCTCGCTGCAGCGGCAGCACCCTCGGGAGTTGTTATAGTAACAGCACAGCCATAAGCAACATCGTGTATGTGCCAAAGAATTCGGAGGCACTGCATATACTGAGTTCCTTGCTTCTCCCCGAGTAACAAAGTCACATAGACATTGTGACCTACGGCCCCACCTGCAATTTCTGCAAGACCAGCTTGACTTCTTCCTCTTCATCAGCCATCATTCCCAGGCACTCTTGGCTTCTCCGCCCCCAACTTTACAACCACAGAGACGCATATCCACTCCTATCATGGAGCCACAGCGACATCTAGGGGTCTGGAGGTTTACCTGCAGCTGAGCACAGGAATGGTTTTCAAGAAACCTAACCAACTTAATTAAACCTAAGGCCTGTAACTCAAAGATACTCTATATCTCACTTTTGAGTTAATATATGTATTTCTTTCTCAAATCTTGGAAATAAAATATTAGCAGCTTAATTAGGCGTATACTTTTGTTTCATAGTTTCCTATTTATTTATAATGAGATTATAATACCTGAAGACAGAAAACAAGTTAAAGATAGTGGATGTCTGTGTTCTAAGTTTGAAATTTTGAATGGAATGTGTTACAGTGGTACCCTGTAGATCTAATTATTTTCCAGATTCACAGTGACTTAACTAGGTATGAGTAATTTTATAATTGTTAACATGTTATCCTAATAAATCGACACTTTGGATAAGGAGCTCTGACGATGCAGTGCCTAAGGCATTTGTCTGCTAACCAGAAGGCTGGCGGTTCAAACCCATCAGCCACTCCTCAGAAGGAAGATTGGGCAATTTACTTCCACAGAGATACCCCTCAGAAACCCAAGGAGGACTTGCTATGGCAGTGAGTTTGGTTTGGGTTTGGTACACTGATAATTCTTATTTATTCAGACTTACCTAGAAAGATACATAAGAAAGAATGGCTGTCTTTGTAGTGGGGAACAGAATGAAGAGAAATCTTTTCACTGTGTAGCCTTTTATTATCTTTTCGATTTTTTACCACATACATATATAACCTGTTCAACAATAAACACAATTTTTAAATTAAAAGAATATTTGCTCTTACAGAGTTTCTTTGGAAAGAGACATAAGAAGCTGACGAGTCATTTCTTCCAGAGAGGAGAGTGGCTGTGGGATGTGGGGGGGAGAGAGCTTTTTCACTGGATGCCTTTTTTGTACGATACGACTTTGTACCATATGCATTATTAGACTATTCAGTAAATAAACAAATAACTTTTTAAAGAGTAGCAGGAAATACTTCTGACAGAGTTCTCTTTATTTTTTTATTTTTAATTGTAGCTAATTTGTGCTTCAGATTGAGTCTGTGAACCTAACAAAGGAAGAGAATATTGAAGGCAGAAATAATGAATTTACATAAAATAATTTCCTCAGATTACTTTCTAAAAATTTTTCATACTGCACAAGGAAGGAAAATACTAATGTGTAAAATCTGTCTGATTAGCTATAAAATAGGGAGAAAAGTTTTTAAAATTTTCGAGTTAGGTGGAAAATCTCTTTTTCTGACATCATTTTAACTTTGGGGTAAAGTACAAAAAAATTGTGACTTTATACTCTATACTCCTAATGAAGTATATATATTTGCTTGCTCTTCAATTATCTAAAGCAGGGGTATTGTTTTTCTATGATGATTAAAGATAAAATATACTCAAATAATTTGGGGATTATTACCTTATAAGAAAAAATGGGATTGGCATTTAGGGTAATTTTATTGTAATTCCTCCCATAGCAATAAGAAACAATAAAAGAACTAAAGAATTACAATAGTTTGTAAGGGTAATCTAATTCAACCATTCATTTTACTACAGAAACTAAAGCCTAGAAAGTTTAAATTCAAACTCACACAAGCAATATATTTAAAAAATAATAATAAAATAAAATGTTGTTGTTGTTGTTAGGTGCCATGGAGTTATCTCCGACTCTTAGAGACCCATATACAACAGAATGAAACACTGCCCAGGCCTGTGTCAGCCTCACAATCCCTGCTGTACCTGAGCCCGTCATTGCAGCCACTCTGTCAATCCATCTTGTTGAGGGCCTTCCCCTTTTTATTGACCTTCCACTTTAAAAAATAAAAATAAAATAAAATAGAACCCAGATATTCTGCATCTCCAAAGAGTATACTTTTTTTTTTTTTTTTTACTTTTTTTTGTGATTTGGGTCAAAGTTTACAGAGCAAATTGGATTTCCATTCAACAATTTATACACATTTTGTTTTGTGACTGATTGTAATCCCCACAATGTAACAGCACTCTTTCCACTTCTTTGTGTTTGCCAATTCCATTCATTCTTCTTTCCTATTCCTTCCTGCCTTGTGAGCTTTATCTCTGGGTAACTGCTGCCCTTTTCATATTGTGTTCAAAAGAACCTCCCTGGTGTTACTGGTCACCTTGTAGGCGTGGCTATCGTTTGCCTGAAAGTTGAAACACAGGGGTGAACTCAGTTCCAGGCCTGAAGGGCGACTAAGGGGTATAGATAGCCTCAGGGCTTCCACCAGCGTCTATCAGATCACTAAGGCTGGTCTTTATGATTATGAGTTTTATCCCACATTTCTTTCCCACTGTATCCAAGACCTCCAACTGAGATCTTTCAGAATGGTCAGCAGTGGTAGCTGGGTATCATCCAGTTCTCCTAGTGTCAGGGTTGAGGAAGCTGAGATTTTTGTGGTCCATTAGTCATCTGCTCTAATTGTTACCTTAAATCTTCCACTACCTTCGTTCTTTTTGGCTCTCAGTGGGGAGAGACCAATAGTTGCACCTCAGATGTCTATTCACAAGCTTTTAAGACCCCAGGCACTACTTATCAAAGCAGGATGTGGACCATATTCTTTGTGGACTATGTTATGCCAATTGACCTTGATGTCCCACGGAACTATGGTCATGAGTTCCCAGGCCCAGCAACTCATTCCAAGATGTTTGGTTATGGCTAAGAAGTTTTCATAACTTTGCCCACTGTAGGCAACATTATATTATGGATATATTTGTAGTAGATATATATGTAGAAATATCCTATGTCAAACCTATATATGTATATTCATGAGTATAGTCCCATTCACCTTCCCATACCTATTCAGCTTGTATGTCGATCTATGTATCCACTTAATGTTTTTGTAGGACTGTAAGTATAATAGTATTTACCTTTGTTGCCTTTAACTCTTGTGCTCCTCCCAGTGTCTTCTTTGCCTTGATCATTTTGTGCTACTTCCTTCTTATTGTATATTGCCTTTCCCTTCACCCAAGTTAATACCTGTCTACCCTCTAGTTAGTGATTTACCTTCTCTTTCTCTCCCATCCTTGGTAATCATCAAAGAATGTTTCTTGCTGTATGTAAACCTTTTCTTGAATTTTTATAGTAGTGCTCTCATACAATATTTGTTCTTTTGTGACTGACTAATTTCACTTATGGAAATGTTCTCTGTTGTTGTTAGGTGCTGTCACATCATCTCCGACTCACAGCGACCCTATGTACAGCAGAACAAAACACTTCTGGTCCTGTGCCAGCTCCATGATCCTTGCTATACCTGAGCCTATTGCTGCAGCCACTGTGTCAATCCATCTTGTTGAGGGCCTTGCCCTGTTTCATTGACCCTCCACTTTACCAAGCATGATATCCTTCTCCAGGGAATGGTCCCTTCTTACAACATGACTAAGTAGGTAAGATGAAGTCTGGCCATTCTCACTTCCAAGGAGCATTCCGGCTGCACTTCCAGGACAGATTTGTTAGTTCTTTTAGCAGTCATGGTACTTTCAGCATTCTTTGCCAACACCACAACTCAAAAGCATCGACTCTTCTTCAGTCTTCCTTATTCATTGTCCTGCTGTCATATGCATATGAGGCAATTGAAAATACCAAGGCTTGTGTCAGGCGCACCTTAGACCTCAAGGAGACATCTTTGCTCTTCAGCACTTGAAAAAGGTCTTTTGCAGCCCATTTGCCCAGTGCTATATGTCGTCTGATATCTTGACTGCTGCTTCCATTGGTGTTGATTGGAGAGCCAAGTGATATGAAGTCTTTGATAACTTCAATCTTTTCTCCATTTACCATGATGCTGCTTATAGGTCCAGTTGTGAGGATTTTTGTTTTCTTTATATTGAGGTGTAGTGCAGACTGAAGGCCGTATTCTTCAATCTTCCTCAGTAAATGC